AGCTGCTGTACCCTGCAACTCCTAAAACTTCTCTCCTTGCTGAGATTTATATTCTATACTAACAAAAAGGACAACAAAAATATACTCGATCTTCCTGTGGATGACTTTTTTTTTTTTAAATAATGCATTTCCTTATTCCCCTTTAATTTTTTTTTTTTTTTTTTTTGGCAAGGAAATTTTCTCCATCTCCAGCAGCAACCACTGCTCCTTTTGATGTTGTGGTACGCCGTGCGCATGCGCTTCACATTAGAATTACTGCACTGGCCAGAATAAGTTGGATCTCTTCTTCTCTTCACTGAAACCCTAAATCATATCAAAAGCTAAAGGGATGCTGAGAGTCCGGAAAAAGGGTTACTTTGGGATTTGGTCATTCCCTTTAATAATAGCCGCGGTGTGTGCACAGAGGTAAGTGATGAAGATACCTCTTTTGCTTTACTTTGAATTGCACTGCATGCTGCTGCTGAGAGGAATGTACAGCTTAGGTCTGAGAAATAAGAAATAATATGGTATTACTCTCTTTTTTTTTTTCTTTAGTGTCAATGACCCTAGTAATATGTCACTGGTAAAAGAGACCGTGGATAGACTGCTGAAGGGCTATGACATTCGCTTGAGGCCAGATTTTGGAGGTAATTTGACTGTTTTTGAATGAGAGATTACATACCCGGGCTGTGTACCTTTGGTGTGTGTGGTTTTTAAACATGTTGTGGGTGCTGTTGCTTTGGGGGGGGTGTGTGTGTTGCCATTTTCTCAAGCTGATCCAAAGTTAAGCCCATTGTTACTCAATTTTCTTAGCACAGGATGCTCTTAATGCGATCACTTGAATCTCTGTCATATTTGTAATCGGTCCCTCATTTTGTGTGTGTGCTGATACTTTATTAACCCGTGATTAAGCCCTTGTTTAACTGGTTTTATCGAGATGCAAATCTCTTAAGTTTACCCAACGTTTGTTCCTCTCAGCCTAATGTGCCTGTGATCACAGTTACTATTTTTGAGTACAAGATGTGCTGTTAACCGATACAAAAAATGTCATTTAACCCCCTGCGTGCGCCTACTTCGAACTAGTTTGTTTATTTCGGACGTGTTCGCTGTGGGTGTCCCCTTGCCCCCCGCCCCCCCTTCTGGGGCTCACTGGCCGCCGTCCCCCAAGGGGCGGGAGCCGCGCTTCCCGGCGGGGGGGGCGGGGGAGCCCCCGCACCCCGGCTGGCCCCGAGCCGCTGCCCGCCCCGGTCTCTCCGGGTGCGCACCCGCCGGCGGAGCGCCCCGCTGCTAACACGTGTGTGCCTGTTACATAAAGCACCGCTGGCGGCGGGCCCGCGGGGCGAACCCGCTGCAAACGCACGCTC